GGCTTTTGTTAGGTCCTGTTTTGGGGTTTTGTTCATGTGGGTTTTCTGTCAAGTTCCTTTTTGTCTCAGGTGTGTTCAGTTCTGTGATTAGTGTTGCTTCCATTTCCTCGGGTATTTTCAGTTAAGTCATTAACTGTCCTGTGTATTTAAGCTCTGTCTTGTCTCTGTCAGTGTGCGATCATTGTGCTGTTTAGCGTGTCTCGTTCTTTATGTTCCATGTTCCAAGAGTTTTTTTGCCACGTCTTTTCAAGTGAGTTTTTCAGCTGCCTCGTCAGCATTTTGGTTTGTAAATAAACCTCATTTTTGTTACATTTGAAATCTGCCTGTGCCCTGGGTCATTCCATGTCTGAACCTGACAGAATGATCGTACCAAGTACCCAGCCCACAGGCAGTTTTTTCAATGGTTTTGATTATGGGGAGATTTCGAGGATCCTTCAGCAGCTGCAGAGAGCGCGAGGAGATGATCGCTTGTCTCTCCCTGTCGAGAGCAGCATCGCCTGGGGATCCTGTTGCCCACCCTTCCTCCCCTCCTGTTTGGTCTACTGCTGGTTCCGGCTGCTGAGTCACCTAAGTCACCCGAATCTACTGGGGTACCTGAATCTGTTCCGGTGTTGAAGGTCCCGGTGGTTCCACTGTTGGTGGTTCCACAGTTGGAGGTCCCGGTGGTTCCACTGTTGGTGGTTCCACAATTGGAGGTCCTGGTGGTTCCACAGTCGGTGGTTCCACAGTGGGTGGTCCCGGTGTTGGCGAGCCCCAGGTCGGAGGTCTCTGAGGTCCATGAGACGGCTGCCGGCGCCTCCACAACATCTGGGTCGGCTGCCGTTACTTCCACGTCGCCCCCATGTCGCCTGGCTCGTCGCCCGTCGCCCCCATGTCGCCTGGCTCGTCGCCCGTCGCCCGATGTCGCCTGGGTTGGCCGCCGTCACCCCATGTCACCTGGGTCGGCTGCTGTCGCCTCTTCGTCCCCACTGTCGCCTATGTTCGCCGTCGCCAAGGCTCTGACTCCATCAACCTCCGCCGGCTCCTCATCTGCTCCTGTGTCCTCCCTTGGTTGGCTCCAAGTCTGCTCCTGTGTCCTCCCTTGGTTGGCTCCAAGTCTGCTCCTGTGTCCTCCCTTGGTTGGCTCCAAGTCTGCTCTTGTGTCCTCCTGGGGCTCAACGTCTGCTTCTGTGGGGTCTTGTCATGGATGGGTTCCTGGCCTTCCCCCTGACCTCTTGCCTTATGTGGGAGGGTTTCCTGGCCGTCCTCCTGGACTTTTATGTTACATTGTCAAGTCTGTTTGTCTCGTCGTCTCTTCTGTGTGGTCCTTTGTTGGAGCGTCCGGTGTCCGCCTCTTAAAACGGGGGTTATGTCATAGTTTGGGTTTTTTGGCTTCTGTTTTTTTGTGTTATGGTTAGTTTTTTTTAGGCCCTGTTTTGTTCATGTGGGTTTTCTGTTAAGTTCCTTTTTGTCTCAGGTGTGTTCAGTTCTGTKATTAGTGTTGCTTCCATTTCCTCAGGTGTTTTCTGTTAACTCATTAGTTGTCCTGTGTATTTAAGCTCTGTCTTGTCTCTGTGTCAGTGTGCGATCATTGTGCTGTTAAGCGTGTCTCGTTCTTCATGTTCCATGTTCCAAGAGTTTTTTCGCCACGTCTTTCAAGTAAGTTTTTTCAGCTGCCTCGTCAGCATTTTGGTTTGTAAATAAACCTCATTTTTGTTACATTTGAAATCTGCCTGTGCCCTGGGTCATTCCATGTCTGAACCTGACATATACAGTGATGCCCTTTCAGTATGGTCCTTTCTATCTGACCAGGATACTCACAGTGCTTTACACTACAATCTGTGCCCTCATTTACCATTTCACACAACACTCTACTAGATCTCTTTACAAAGCTAATCTACATAAAACATTCTATGCAGATTAGTCAGATCACTATCATACACTGATGGAACATACGTCAGAGACAGAAGGGGTCCAGTGTCTTGCCCAAAGATACATCAACATATGACTGAATAGAAGTGAAATCAAACTGCCAACTCTCGTTGAAAGACGACTTCCCTAGCCACACCCTGTGTGATCTGTGTTGCTTTTCTGCTGTTGTCAGAGCCTCCACCTCCAATAACACCTTCTATCTCTTTGCTCTTGAAGGCTTGTAATTTCTTAATACCTGCAAAAGTAAAATGATATATTTTAGATATTATGTGTCACATGGTGATGGATGGGCTTCACATTAGCAGGTAGTGTCCTTAAGATAAGGACAAGATAGACTTTACTATCCTGTATTATTGTGTTACTTTGTCCTTACTTCTCACTGCATCATTTCAGGTTTTGCGGACTGCAGAACATCTGCAGTAGTTTGTGTTTTAACAGAATTGTCCTTGGCCTTGCATTACCTTCTGAAGGTTTTCTGCGCACGCTTTTATCAACCCTCATTTAGACATAGTTAAAATTATATGTATAAACTCAAATGCCAGTGGTGGGCAACACTAAAACAAAAATTAGCTCCGCAATTTCTAAAGGGCTTATGAATATATTTAGGTCCACATCAAAAGCGCTCATGCTATAGAAAACTGCAATTCAATTTGACACTTACTAGCTGGCAAAACATGCACTACGTATGCACAATACTGCCAACTGTATATGAACTCTTTTACAGCTTAATTCTACAACCGCCGATTGCTGGGGATGTGATTTCCTGAAATGGACATTTGGCTCATGGTGTTAAAATTAAATTTTTTAGGATTGCTAGTTCGGCTGCTTCTTTAAAAAGTTGTTGAGGATTGCTAGTTCGGCTGCTTCTTTAAAAAGTTGTTGAGGATTGCTAGTTCGGCTGATTCTTTGGCTTTTTCTTTTGTTTATTGTAGATTTTTCTTTAAGGATGCACATCGATAAAGTAATTTTAAAACTGTTTATTGGAAAACTGAAGCAATGCATTCTGGGTACATGACGGATTTGATTTGTGACGGGAAGCGAAAGCACTGGGAACAGGAAACTAGTATCTTCCCTTCAAAATAAGAGCTTGGATTTCAAAGTTTTCCATTTCACCTGAAACTCATCAGACTGAAGAAGTCTCTTGGAGGAGAGATGAAACATTTCAATAAAGAAGAACCCATCCAGAGGACTTACTTATTTTTTCTTTTTGATTTTTTCTACCTGGATTAGGACGTTTTCCATGTAGTTGGTCCAGTTGACCACTAGATGTCAGTCTTCACCAGCGTAACATCTTTAAATCATTTCTGAATCTCTAACCTCGTTGGCCATTTGCTTTACGTCAAGTGCTTAGCTCCAGCGTTTAAAACTTTATTTTTTGTAAAGTAAAATAAATCAATACATACAAAATTTTAGTATGCATTACAAATGTTTACTGTTTTTGCTATTGTCTTCCTGCTACGTGAGCAGACACAAAGCATTGTGGGAAATCAGAACCATGACCCAAAGCAACAGTCAGCAAGGATGTATACCTTCACAATAAGTGTATTTATCTGGGAGGGGTGCTGTTGGATAGATCACGTAAGTTGTAATTCATTGACAGTCATACCTTCCGCTGTTCAAGATAATGATGACTGATAGATAATTAGTTATTAGCAGTAATGTAGTTTAATTTTAGAAAGTGCAAATCTGCTTATGAATTACAAAAATTAGTAAGACCGCTAAAGAGCAAACAAAATATTTAGGTCCGCAATTAGCGGACTTGCGTTTTAGCGGGCTGGTGCCCACCACTGTGAAATGCAGTATAGTCATACACCTGGAAAAGGATTTAAATGGATGTCTCTCATACATATCAAGTTGTACAGATTCTCTGTAAATTACACCTTTCCTCAATTTTGCATGTATACAAACTTACAGGGCAATCTTATGGATTTTTTTTCTAAAATGATGCTTCAAATCATTTTGAGTCTCAGAGATGGCAGGCTGTAATGTTGTTTTCCACCTCCTCGTCCACTGGTCTTTGCTTCTCTACTGATGTGGACACTATTATATTTTTATGTTAACCCACCTTATTAAATAAAAAAACTGTCCCTGTTTGTTGGAACACCCAATAATATAATTGTCTACAGTTTTTTTTCAGGGGAATTTAAGGAATATGGAGATAAACCTTCTGAATTATCCTTTAATGCTCCAGTACCACAGCATGATGCTACCACCACCATGTCTGACAGCTGGTACGGAGTACAAAATGCCTGTGTGTGTTTGAAAGCCTCACCTTGACTGCAAAATTTAATCTGAGTTTTCTTCAGCAGTGGCTTTCTCATTGCCACTCTACCATGAAGACTTGTTAAAAACCGTTAACAGGTATTTCATGTAAAGTATGTCCCATCTCAGCCTGAAGAAGCTTGAGTGGTAACAGGTGTCACCTGTGTTAGTTTACGAGGACGGTCTGCTCATGTCCCATTTTGTTTCCATTTCTTGATTATGGATTTAATAGAACTTCTGAGGATGTTTAGGGCCTTGAAAAATAATTTTGCGTCCATCTGAATGTGTACTTCTAATATTTTTTTGTTTCTTAGAGCTGTTTGAAGTATTACTAGTGATCACTGATGAACTTTCTGATTTGATGTTTAAATCATGTATCGATTGAAAATGCTTCAACAGTACTAAATTTATCATGTGAGCAGTGCTGGCTCTAGCCATTTTGGTGCCCTAGGTGAGTTGAAGTGCACCCCCTCCCCCGAACTATGTCCCACCCTAATTTGAACCCCTAAAAACAAGTTTGACAGTGTAAGGTACTATGGTAATCTTAGATTTATTTGTTTTCCCAGAAAGCAAATAAATAACATTCATGTCAACTTGTATGGATTGTCTGTAAGTTATAAGGATTTTACGTCATTTTGCAGGTATACAGACGTATAGAGCAATCTCATGGATTTTTTTCAAGTCTTACGGATTTTTTCAAAACCTCATTTTCAAATTTATCTAACATGTCAGAGCCTGTAAGATGATTTTGAAAAACAACAAAATAACTCAATAACCATCTTCCAGCCTGTTCTGCTGGTAGAAATAAGTTTTGAACTTTTTACGCTCTCCTTTCCTCCTGCACTTTCATGTCCCCAGCGAGGCTGACCCCCCGGTGTGAGTTGTGTGGATGTTTTTGCAAAATTTATGGATTTTTGAGGCTTTTTATCCAGGTAAACATCCGAAGAGGTTGGCATGTATGGGACAACAAAGTACAGACTTGTTATTGAGTTTGTCAACACGAACCGCTACCTGAGAGACACTAAGAGTCCCTCCCCCATCAGAGTGTCGAAGCAGGACGAGTCAGTGCAACTTCATTCAAATGAGAGAGAGAGGGTGGGGGCAATTGCTGCATTGGCGGGAGAAAATGTTTTATGGGTAGAGTATTTTATTTTTCCTGTAATACTTCATTATAGTTTTTTAAGACAAAGCTAATTGAAAGGGGCGCTGAGCAGAGTTACAACCAGGGATTACAAATAATTTCTTTTTTCTTCTGCAGTTCGGCGCCTCCTCCAGCAGATGGCGCTCTAGGCGACCGCCTAGTTCGCCTATGCCAAGAGCCGGCTCTGCGTTTATTCTGATAAAAAACTAAGATAATTAGTAAATATTAAATGTTGCTACAGATTTTGTAATGTTTCAAACAATTAGTTTTTTTATGTTCCACCAAATTTTACAGTTTAAATTGTTTTCCCAACTGTTTCTTTAACTCTCTATTAGTTTTTTAATTACTATAAATTTGATTTATTTATGAAAAACATTTTAATCACTGACAAGATTTACAGATAGCCTAGAAAACAACAAATTTCAAGGAACCATACACTGAACGCTCATGTTTTTTTCATTCTAAGGTTTGGGAGACACTTGGATATTACTACATCAGGCAGAAGCTATCACCTACCATAGTGTGGGATGATGGCCCATGCCATGGCTGAGGCATAAATTCCTCCAATCATCCAGAACATGCACAGCCAGCTCAGATGTTCTCCTCGCTTCTCTCGTGCCAAGACCTCCGCAAAGAATGAGAAGACAATAGGCACAGCTCCTCCAATCCTGTGAATTCAGTTAAAAGTCAAAAGCTAGATATCTGTTAGTAGACAGTCTGCCTTTTACACTTCACATTTTCTCATCTTGGCTCGTTTGTGTTTCTCAGGTTGTTCTTTGTTTGAGCACATACTTTGAGCACAACAGTTTTTGCCCCATCTTTGTTTACATTGCATTACCCTGTTTGTCTGTTACAAAACTATATCACTGGACTGGTTTCAGTGAAGCTTTCATTGTAATCATTGGTTGTACATCTAAATCTGATTGACTTTAAAGACAATTCATTTGAAACTGGCTGCCACAGCTAAATGGCTTTAGCTTACACAAGAGCACAGCAAAGTGAAATACATGTCTGAAAGGTTAACATGTTCTGTAAAAATTGTACTGCATGCTATGTAGT